CTTGTCTTCCGACATCATGTTGGTAGACCCAAGTGCAGGAGGCGCCACAACAGTCAACAACAGTCAATAAAAACTATGTTGCCAGCACACCTCATTCTTCTGCTAAAGGAACCTCATTTACTGTCATTCGTCTGGCATGTAGTACAGCAAAGGCCAACATTTCACATCCACCAGGGGTCCCTTCATCAGAGACATGCCACTTTCCCTCATGAAGGGACCCTTGGTGGTTTGCGAAACATTGCTGTGACGGGAGTCACTTTGGGTAAGGGGCCCATGGAACCCAGCTCACTTTGGAGAGGTGGGGAGACCCCTGTCTCAGCTCCCCATATCCCTCTTATGTGTAAATCCCCCTGTGCCTGTTAGGGGTACAGGGTGATCTGTCCTAATATTGGGGTGGGGGGTTGTTGATTGTTTGATGTTATGTGGTTGCATCCCATTGTTCTATTGTTGGTCTTGCTTGGGAGCAAACTATTATGGGATGTATGTGTTTATGTGTATTGGCTTGGTGGGGGGGGGTGTCTCCAGCAGCCCTCCCTCCTGATGGGACTGTCTGTTGGTGTGTTTCTTGTTACTACTAAATGTAGATTGCCCCACCCTGTGTCATTATGCAGGGAGGGGGGATTGTCCCCTTGAGTGTATATATCTTGTATATGTGTTAAAATAAACTTGTCTACCTCCTGGTTTACTTCAAGACTGGTGTCGTCTAGTCTTGTATGGGCGGTTGTGGTGTCTGTTGTCGGTGTTCAGACAGGAAAACAGAAGTACTCAAACGCCGTCAGGGTCGGTTCCCGTTACAATTGTCCTTTGCTGGATGAGATGCTGAATGAACACCAATAAAAGTGGTTGCTTTTGCAGAAGATTGAGGTGAGCTGGCAACATAGTCTTCATAAGACCTTACCTGGGACAAAGAATGGTAGGCACTTTCTTTGGCTAGCGAAATGTTGCCTTTTGCTGGCTTGGAGACGCTGACCTGGGACAAGTCATAAAGATATCTCCATTGGGCACCAAATTGATATACCTAAGTACAGGGTGCTCAAACAACTGGTGGAGACACCAGAACAGTCAAAAGAAAACTATGTTGCCAGCACGCTTCAATCTTCTGCAAAAAGCAACTGGCTTTACTGATGTTCATTCAGTATGTCATACATCAAAGGGTAATGTTTCACAACCACCAGGTATCCCTTCATCAGGGATATGGCACTTGTCTGATGAAGGGATCCTTGGTGGTTGCGAAACATTGTACTGTGCTGTATGATGCTGCATGTTGGGATTAGGGTCTGGTATGAATTTGGGGGGGGACCCCATGCCATTTTTTAAAAGTGTTGACATGGGTCCTCCCAAAATGTATAGGAGACCCCAATCCAAGCATGCAGCCTGGCAGATCGGGAAAGGGGGAGACAAGTGAGCACCCCCCACTCCCTCCTGAACCATACTAGGCCACATGCCCTCAACACAGGGGAGTGCTTTCGGGAAGGGGAACTCCACCCCCAAAGCACCTTGTCCCCTGAATGTTGGTTGTGGGGGTCTGCGGGCGGGGGACTTATCAGAATCTTGAAGCCCCTTTCACAAGAGGGCCCCAGATCCTTCCCTCCCCCATGTGAATGAGTATGGGGTACATTGTACCCCTACTCATTCATCAAAAAAAGTGAAAGTTAGTAAAGCACAACAACAGTTTCTGAGAAGTTCTTCATTAAAAAAACAAAAAAAAAAACAAAACAATGTCCTCTAAAGTAAATCCAGCATCAATCAAAATGAATGCTGCCACAGCCCCCCCCCCCCCCCCCCCCAAAAAAAAGGGTCCACATCCAACTTTGGCTACCACCACTAAATAAACAAAATGGTGTGGCCCTTCCCTTTTTTGGGTCAGTGGAGGCAGTGGAAGATTGAGGTGAGCTGCAACATAGCCTTCAGTAGAGCTGATCTGGGAGAAGGAATGCTAGTTGTTTGGATGTCTTTGGCTTTGAGACGCTGACCTGTGACAAGTCATAAAGATATTTCCATTGGGCACCAGACCAGTATACCACACATACAAGTAGAAAAAGAGACAATACAGAAAAATCAGGTGCCTTTCAAGCACAATCTTTCCTACAGAAACTTTGAACTGAGTAGTCTAATATGAAACCACACTACACTATTAACTACATAATAGTTATATACTCATTATTATAGAAATGCTCATGTAGCAGGGCACCAGCTGGCTGTGTGGATTCACTCCCTTCCCCACCATTGTGTGTTACAGATCAAAGTTGCCCCAAGCAACCCAGCATGAACTGACACATAACCAGAGAGGAACCACTACTACTGTGCTCATATGACTTGAAGCTACCATTAGAGACTGAGCCCTGAAGAACACACTACAGCTGTTATAGGTCTTGTACTGCCTGCAGGTCTTATTGACTATCCTCAAGTGTGCCAACGGTGTTAATGGGCCTCAACGCTAGCCAGCTGAGAGTCTGGACTAAAGACTGCCCTTTCAATTGCTACCTAGAAACTCTTGCCCACTTCTTAGGTAAGAGGTACCTCTCAGTGGACACTGTTCCATACCCTAGCCATTCCATTAGATTCCACTCTAATCCAATGGTAGAGTTATTATTTACATTGCAGTTAACATTTGTATGCACTGTTTACTTCTGAGTTTGCTGATTCACGTGGTGATTCCCTTTAAGTGGTATACAACTTGATTCTAAAATGTTTTGGCATCGCTATTACTCTGTCATTTTCAAATTTATCTGCTGGGTGCTCAATTATGCTCAACCCTCCATTCATTCAAACCCGTGTCAAAATATTGAGGTCATCTACTACTAAGCAGTCTTGTGTCTATTTTCTGGTAGCAACCTACAGCCAGAGTAACGGTATCTATACTCGTGTCCTTATACGTGCTTGCCATGATATTCAATTTTTGTTGTTCTGAGAAGTTGCTCTTAGAATCAAGGCACAGAACAGAGAACTCAAAATTACCAATCTTTTCCTTCGGGGGGTAGCGCTACACGCATATAAAATGTTTGCCATTCTATCTTTCTCCTCCAAGCCACCTCATTCTCCTGACCAATATAAAAGATAGATGGGCTGGTTGCATAAGCACCCAGAAAAGATAGTGGCATATGGCAGCTGCTAAAAATAAACATTTACACTGGAAATTCTGAAGCAAGTGCCAATTATTTGTTCCCACCACTTCAAGGTGTGAAACACGTTCACATCCATTAATACGTCTCTATGTACATATGGAGTGAGCTCAGAATGTCAAACTGAGTGCTATGCTACTGTGAAAGGCTAGAGTACTTGCTTCCAGGGAACATTGTGTTCTACATCTGCTTTTAAAGGATCTATTGTCATTGTGAGGCTTCTACTGAAGAAATTAGGACTACCAGTAGCTGCTAATAAAGGATTCATTGGTAACTGGGAGGCTGCCACTGAAGAAATTAGGGCCACCAGTAGCAGCTACTAAAGAATTCAACTGTAACTGCAAAAGTGATACTGAATCTTAAGAGCCACCACCAGGGGTTGACTGACCATTTGAAAACTCGGGCACTGCCCGAGGGCCCGAGGTCAGTAGGGGCCCCATGAGATGCCCCTGGTACCTTTTCCATAGGCTTTTTTGAGTTTGGCCAAGGACACAGGGCCCCATGATCCCCTATTGCCCGGGGGCCCCATGAGTTGCCAGTCCACCCCTGGCCACCACCAAATGTGTTACTATTGTGAGCCTTCTACTGAATTATTAGAACCACCATTAGTTTTGTTACTATTGGGGAGCTGCCACTGAATTGATAAACCCAACATCAACTTTTTTTACTACTGGAAGGCTGCTATTGAAATTTTAGAACCACTATTAACTTTCATAGTACTGAGAGGCCGCTACTAAATTATTAGATCCACTGTCAACTTTCTTACCACTGGAGGCTACTACTGAAATATTAAAGCCACCATTCATTGTTGCTACTGACATGAGAAGGCCTGCAATATTTTGCTTTAATTTGGGTATCCTGTGCCTCAAACCCACTTGCCATGAGTTTGTTAAGCAAATAAAACTCCAAAAAAACAAAACAAATTGATTGAAGCCCACTTGCCACCATCAACTTTGTTACTATTGGGAGGCTGCTACTGAATTATTAAACTCACCATCAACTTTGTTACTATTGGGAGACAGCTACTGAAACACAAGAACCACCACCAACTTTGTTTGGGGGATGCTACTGATTTTTTAGCTCCACAATCAACTTTACTACTGGAAGATTGCTATTATAATATTAGACCCAGCAGCATTGACTTTACTAATGGGAGACCACTACTGAAATTTTAGATCCACCATCAACTTTGTTACTACTGGAAGGCTGCCACTGAAATATTAGATCCACCATCATCTTTGCTACTACTGGAAGACTGCTACTGAAATTTTAGAGCCATCATTAACGTTTTCACTACTGGAAGGCTGCTAATGAAATATTAGACCCACCAATAACTTTGATACTACTAGGAGGATGCTACTGAATTACGAGGAGCGTTCAAGTCAAACTCGGGACTTTTCATTTTACAGGTATAAAAAGGGAAGCTAGAGTGGCAGTACTATATGCAGTACTAAGTGGCAAGCGTGTCCTATTACTGATAGGTGACGCACTTGTCACGGGTCAGTCCACAGGCTGTTAATCAAGATGGCAGACAACAGTGTTAGTGCGTGCATGGAACAGCGTGTAGCGATGAAGTTTCTTGTGAACAAAGGTGTACAACCCACGGATATCTATAGAAAACTTCAAGCACAGTTTGGTGGTGAGATGCTCAGCCACAGTAAGACATTTGAATGGTGTGAACGTTTTAAAAATGGCTGTACGTCCACCAGTGAGAATCCCGGCCGTGGTGGTTCATGGCCCACAGTAGTTATTCCTGACAACATTCAGTCCGTGGAACGCCTGATCATCGATAATCGACACATAACCTGTCGTAAAATTGCACAAGAAGAAAATCTTGCTGTGGGAACAGTGAATCTATCTATCGCAGCGCTCCTTCAGTGTTACCTATAACGCTGCCACCTCCTCCTCACTCCCTCTCTCTGTAGGGGTCCCCCAAGGTTCTGTCCTTGGACCTCTTCTCTTCTCCATTTATACCTTCTCCCTTGGTCACTTGATAAACTCCCATGGCTTCAATTACCATCTCTATGCTGATGACACGCAAATCTATCTGTCTACCCCTCAGTTTCCACCCATATCGCTAGCCTACTAAGTGACATATCGGCTTGGATGACACTCCACTTCCTCAAACTCAACCTTTCCAAAATTGAGCTCCTAGTATTCCCCCCAGTCCGCGCCACCCCCACTGACTTCACCATAAACATTGCTAACACTATCCTCAGTCCATCCCCTCATGCCAGGGTACTAGGTGTAAGCCTAGACTCCCATCTGTCCTTCCAGCCCTATATCCAATCACTGACAAAATCATGTAGACTTCACCTCCGCAACATCTCCAAGATACGCCCATTCCTAACCCCAGAAACCACTAAGCAACTTATTCACTTCCTTGTCATATCACGCCTCGACTACTGTCACTCCCTCCTCATTGGCCTACCTCATCGCAGGCTATCCCCCCTCCAGTCTATCATGAACGCTGCTGCTAGACTCATCCAGCTCACTAACCTTTCGGTATCCACTAACCCTCTCTGCCAATCCCTCCACTGGCTCCCAATTGCCCAACGGATAAAATTCAAAACTCTAACAATGACATATAAAGCCATCCACAACACTACCCCAATTTACATAACCAATCTTATCTCTAAATATCACCCAAACCGTACACTCCGCTCCTCGCAAGACCTCTTACTCTCTAGCTCCCTTATCTCCTCCTCCCATGCTCGCCTCCAAGACTTCTCCAGGGCGTCACCCATCCTCTGGAACTCCCTACCCAAATCTATCAGACTATCACCTACTCTACTTGCCTTTTGGCGATCACTGAAAACCTTTCTCTTCAGGGAAGCCTATCCTGCCCTCTGCAAATTCTGGAATCCTCTACTATTCCAACCACTCCATACCCCACAGTGGCTACCTACTGTACCATACACCCCTCCCTCCTAGATTGTAAGCTCCAAGGAGCAGGGCCCTCAAATCCCTCTTGTATTGAACTGTATTGTCTCCCACTATAATGTAAAGTGCTGAGCAAACCGTTGGCGCTATATAAATCCTGTATAATAATAATAATAATAACACAATAATTTACCAAGTGAAGCAGGCTGTCCTAGGATGGTTCAGAAATACTGAAAAATCTTTCTATGCCAAAGCTTTCCAGGCATTTGGTAAATGCTGGTATAAGTGTATATATGTAGCAGGGGAGCATGTTGTAAAATAAATGCATTTTCCTTGAAATTTGTTCTTTTTTATATAAATTTAAAAGCTCCGATTTGACTTGAATGCCCCTCATATTCTACTCACCATCAACCTTTTTACTACTGGGAGACAGCTACAGAAATATGAGAACTACCATCAACTACTGGGAAGCTGCTACTAATTTTTTAGAGCCACCATCAACTTTACTAGTGGAAGGCTGCTACTGAAATATTAGACCCACCATCAACCTTTTTGCTACTGGGAGGCTACCACTGAATTATTAGACTGTCAAATTTGTTACTACTAGGAGGCTGCTACTGAAATATTAGAACCACCATCAACCTTGTTACTATTGAAAGGCTGCTACTGAATATTAAACCCACCATCAGGGGTGGATTGACAACTCCTGGGGCCCCCGGGCAACAGGGGATCATGGGGCTCCTATGTCCTCACCCACACTCAAACCACACCCAAAAAAGCCTATGAAAGGTACTAGGGGCCTCTCATGGGGCCCCCTACTGACCCTGGGCCTTTGGGCAGTGCCCAAATGGTCAGTCCGCCCCTGCCCACCATCAACTTTGTTACTACTGGGAGACTCCTACTGAGAGACCCACCATTAACTTTGTTACTACTGGGAGACTCCTACTGAGTTACTAGACCCACCATCAACTTTGTTACCTGGGAGACTCCTACTGAGTTATTAACATCAACTTTGTTACTACTCCTACTGAGTTGCTAGACCCACATTCTTTGTTACTACTGAGACTCCTACTGACTAGACCCACCATCAACTTTGTTACTACTGGGAGACTCCTACTGAGTTTGACCCACCATCAACTTTGTTACTACTGGGGACTCCTACTGAGTTACTCCATTACTTTGTTGACTGGGAGACTCCTACTGAGTTACTAGACCCACCATCAACTTTGTTACTACTGGGAGACTCCTACTGATGCTAACATTAACTTTGTTACTACTGTGAAGCTGCTAATGAAATATTAGAACCACCATAAACGTAGATACTACTGAGAGAATGCTACTGAAATATTAGCACCACCATTCATTTTTGTTGCTGACATAAGAAGACCTGGAGTATTTTGCTATAATTTGGGTATCCTGTGCCCCCAACCATTTCTCCTTAATTTTATTGAGCTAATAAACTATAAAAGGACCAAGTCTTGAAGCCCAACTGTCACCATCAACTTTGTTACTTCCAGGAGGCTGATACTGATTTATTAGAGCTACCATCAACCTTGGTACTTATGGTACTTAAACATTTTTTTTTACATTTTTATTTTATTTTTTCATATTATTATTTATGTTGTTTTTTTTTTTTTTTTTACATACTGTCACCCTAGTAGTACAGTGTCACCATGGTGACACTGTACTACTTGTGGGGGGTGATGAAGATTTTTTTTTTTTTACACTGATTGCTTTTACACCCATAAAGGCTGTAAAAGCAATTATTTCTCCTTCTCTCTGGCTGCATTCTTGCAGCCATTGAGAACTACTGTGTGAGCTGTGATTGGTCACAGCTTGTCACATGGTACAAGGCTGTTGTGAATAGCCTTGTATCATGTGACCTCTGTGATCATTCACAGATTTCACACGTAGTAAGCAATGATGTCACAAGTGACACCTTGCTTACTACTCTGCATGTGATCACTGATTGGCCAATCAGTGATCACATGATCGGGATCTCGTATAGAGGTCCCGTCCGACGATCAGTGTTCCACTGTGTCCGGAGGACACAGTGGGCACCGGATCGCGGTGCTGCGCGCGCTCCCAGGGAGCGTGCACAAGCAGGGTGTGGGGAGGCCGTTTATAAATACCCACCCGACCCTGCAATGCCACCGTCCGGCCATTCATATACAACGGCCAGACGGGGAGGTGAATATATATATATATATATATATGCCTTCTGAATCACTTCTTGTATCTTCCCCCTACTCACCTCCGAGCACAGTCCCTTGGTTCCACCCCTTACCCACCTCCCAGTACTGCTCCTTATAAAGAATACACAGCCAAGTATCATTTTGTGGTGCTAAGTAATTTGTATGGAATTTGTTAATAATAACTAAAAAAGCAGTAAAATAGATCCCCTGCAGCCAGCAGCAATAGACCCCCCCAAGCAACAAAATACCACCCCAGCAACAACAGAACCCCAGCAGAAACAGGCCACCAGCAGTATCAACAGATCTCCCAGCAGCTAGCATCAATACACTATCCAGCAGCCAGCAACAATAGACCCTTCCTCAACAGTAGATCCCTTCCAACAACAATAGATCCCACACCAGCCACATTAGACATCCCCAGCAATAGATCACCATGCAAAAATAGATCCCTTCCAGTGATAATAGATCTCCCAGCAGCCAGCATCAATAGATCTTCAAGTGCACCCCAGCACCTCTTGCCATTACATACATTCAGTGCAGGAGGTGCCAGAACCGCTGTCCCCCACAATCTCGTTGAAAAAAAGCCATATATATATATATATATATATATGTATGTATATACAACAGTCAGGTCCATAAATATTGGGACATTGACACAATTCTAACATTTTTGGCTCTATACACCACCACAATGGATTTGCAATGAAACTAACAAGATGTGCTTTAACTGCAGACTGTCAGCTTTAATTTGAGGGTATTTACATCCAAATCAGTGTGAACGGTGTAGGAATTACAACAGTTTGCATATGTGCCTCCCACTTGTTAAGGGACCAAAAGTAATGGGACAATTGGCTTCTCAGCTGTTCCATGGCCAGGTGTGTGATATTCCCTCATTATCCAAATTACAATGAGCAGATAAAAGGTCCAGAGTTCATTTCAAGCGTGCTATTTGCATTTGGAATCTGTTGTTGTCAACTCTCAAGATGAGATCCAAAGAGCTGTCACTATCAGTGAAGCAATCCATCATTAGGCTGAAAAAACAAAACAACCCCATCAGAGAGATAGCAAAAACATTAGGCGTGGCCAAAACAACTGTTTGGAACATTCTTAAAAAGAAGGAACGCACCGGTGAGCTCAGCAACACCAAAAGACAGGGAAGACCACGGAAAACAACTGTGGTGGATGACCGAATAATTCTTTCCCTGGTGAAGTAAACACCCTTCAAAAACAGTCGGCCAGATCAAGAACACTCTCCAGGAGGTAGGTGTATGTGTGTCAAAGTCAACGATCAAGAGAAGACTTCACCAGAGTGATTACAGAGGGTTCACCACAAGATGGAAACCATTGGTGAGCCTCAAAAACAGGAAGGCCAGATTAGAGTTTGCCAAACGACATCTAAAAAAGCCTTCAAAGTTCTGGAACAACATCCTATGGACAGATGAGACCGACATCAACTTGTACCAGAGTGATGGGAAGAGAAGAACATGGAGAAGGAGAGGAACTGCTCATGATCCTAAGCATACCACCTCATCAGTGAAGCATGGTGGTGGTAGTGTCATGGCGTGGGCATGTATGGCTGCCAATGGAACTGGTTCTCTTGTATTTATTGATGATGTGACTGCTGACAAAAGCTGTAGGATGAATTCTGAAGTGTTTCGGGAATATTATCTGCTCATATTCAGGCAAATGCTTCAGAACTCATTGGACGCTTCACAGTGCAGATGGACAATGACCCAAAGCATACTGCAAAAGCAACCAAAGAGTTTTTTAAGGGAAAGAAGTGGAATGTTATGCAATGGCCAAGTCAATCACCTGACCTGAATCCGATTGAGCATGCATTTCACT